GGAGGGAACATGAAGCTACTCCGGGGACCCTATGAACAGTTGTGGACTGGGAAGCTCAGCTCAGCAGCGCCTCGGCACCTCCCCCCACCCTCCCCCCCAGGGCCTGGCTTCTGCAAGTTGTCAGCAGAAGGGACAGGACCGCCACCCAACTGTAAGTCCAGCGGGGAAAGGGCCCCCGTGCTCATTGCTGTATCTCAAGCGCCTAGCACAGTACCTGACACAGAGAAAATGCTCAATATTTATCTGTGGAAGAAAGAAGAAAAAAAGGGAGGAAGGCATGGAGACAGAAGGGAAGTGCGTGAAGAATGGAAGGAAAAAGAACTTTCTGGCGTTACTGATTCCCATCCCCCACATCTTTACTGAGGGATAGCTGCTGAATAAAAATCGCATATATTCGAGATGTATGACTTGATGTTTTGACGCACATTGTGAAATGATTGCCTCGTTCAAATTAATGAACATATTTATCACCTCACATTGTTACCTTTTAATTTTAATTTTGTGGTGAGAACACTTAAGATCTACCCCCTTGGCAAATTTCAAGTGTACAATACAGTATTGTCAACTATAGTCATATTTGACCTTCAGAACTTACTCATCTTGCAAAACCAAAACTTTGTGCCGTTAACCAGCATCACCTCCCCCTCACCCCACGCCCCCAGTCCCTGGCAACCGCCATTCTTTTCTTTGTGGTATTTGTCTTTCTGTGTCTGGCTTATTTCACTGAGCATAATGTCCTCCAGGTTCATCCATGTTGTCACAGACATCAAGATTTCCTTCTCTGTAAAGGCTGAATAAAATTCCATTGTACAGGCATAAACCACATCTTCTTTATCCATCGACCCGTCGATGGACAGGGAGGTTACTTCCATATCTGGACCACTGTGAATAATGCTGCAGTGAACTTGGAGGTGCAGATATCTCTTCAAGATACTAATTTAATTTCCTTTGGATATGTATCCAGAGTGAGATTGCTACATCATAAGGTTGTTCTATTTTATTTTTTTGAGGAAACTCTATACTGTTTTCCATAATGGCAGTAACAGAAGAACAAATATTTGATGCCTCTTCCAGAGAAACAAATGGATAAAAAGAGGTGGCCTCTTCTTACTATCTCCATAGTTGCCCGTTGAGGTCTGAGGCCTGAGTTGTTCTGTCCTTGCTAGGAGTCAGTAAAGGAGGAGCTTCAGCCTGAAGCTGAACTGGCCCTTGGACACCAGTGTTTGGTCTGTTCTAGCTCCCAGAGTATACAGAGTGTGTGTGTATGTATATATATATACACATGTGGCTGTGCGTTAGAGGTTTCTAGCACATTCTAACCATAGGTGCTCCCCATTAGAAAAGGGTAAAAGGGTGGTGGAAAGGAGAAAACCACATGGAAATCCCTGAATTGGAACTTCAGGGGGGCTTCCTAGCTGCTCCCCTGCTTTTATCCCCTAAGCTGAAGTAAATGGTCAGGGTAGCCGCAGCCGAAGCTTTCTTTGCCATTCCCAGGTCAAATAGGCTGAAATTTCATCCATTAGAAATTAATTTACAGAAAGGAATTCTGACCCAGGCTGCCACATGGATGGACCTAGAGGACATTATGTTGAGTGAAATAAGCCAGCCACAAAAAGACAAATACCATAATGTGCATTTTACCCCATACACACAAAACCCCTTCAATCAGTTGGGTATATTTGTGTGGCTTCTCTGCTGCTCCATTGCATAAGAACTCTTGAAATTGGGTAGAATGATTCTTCCCACTTTATTTTTCAAAATAGATCTAGCTGTTCTGGTTCTGTCCTTTAATAGATAAAAAAAAGAAATTAATTTACAATTATATGTTACACTTGTACATAATAATCAAGGACTGGCCGAAGATAGAGATGCATTGGTCATTCAGACTTAAATGTGGACAGGTTAACTTAAGTTGCTTTCCTAATTCAGGAGAAGGGGAGTTTTGATGGAGAAGGTGGAGGGAAGGATCAAGAGTTAGCTCAGGAATGAGGGGCATCATGAGGGGACAGTGGGCCTTGGAGGGGTGCTAGGGGTTAGGGAGACTTTGGACTACTCTGGCCAGACTTTCTCAGCCTTTCATGAACTTCTCTTTAAGCCACTCCTTAAATTTTGGTGTTTGCTGGGATTCTTGTTTTGTCTTACTTTCTACTCTCTCTTGCTGATCTTGTCTCCTTGTCTACTTGTATATCACACCTGGGCTAGGCACTACCCATAAACCCTCAGTTCACAATCTTGCCTTTGACCTCAGGACCCACCCACAAATTAGGTCCTTCTTCAGGCTCTGCCTCCCACCCCTGTGTTCGCACTTTGGTCGATCTCCCTGAGTTCTGTACCACTGCTTTCATATCTGACTCCCCTCCTCTCTGTCTAGTCCTTTCGGATTTCACCACTCATTTGGAGGGTGTGCCTGGCTTTTGGATTCAGTTTCTCTTAAAAAACACACACACACTCTTTTGGATCACCTTTCTGACCGCCAAGGCCAAGGTTTCTTAGCCTATGTTTCTGACACCAATTCCAATGTGTGGGTTTTTTTTTTCATACCAAGCAATTCTCCAACACCAGCCGGTGTCAGTTCTGACTCTACCCGGAGATAGCATCAGCTCCCACAGTTAAGGGCTCAGTCTCACAAGGTTGCCCAGACTTCAGATGCCAATCACATCTAAGCACAGGTTGTTATTTGTGTATCTGACTTACTGGCTGGAAATCAGAGGTTCCCATGACCAACCTTTGACTTGCTGGAGCAGCTCACAAAGCTCAGGAGACCAGTTCACTTATTAGATTACATAGGACATTAAAGGGTATGAATGAACAGCCAGATGAAGAGATACATAGGGTGAGGTCCCTGACCCAGAAGCTTCTGTCTCTGTGAAGTTTGGGGCCTGGAAGTAGAATGTGTTCAGGTTCAACAAAGCTCTCTAAATCCCGTCCTTTTGGATTTTTATGGAGGCTTCATGACATAGGCATTATTGATTAAATCATTGGCCAGTGGTGATTGATCCAACCTCTAACTCCTCCCGCTTCCCTAGAGGGCAAAGGGGCGGGACTGATGGTCAGACCCTCTAATCAAAAGGTCGCTCTGTCAACCAGCTCCCACCCTTAGGTACTTTTGGAAAGTTACACCATTAACATAACACCTTTATCCTCTAACCACTTAGGGAATTCCAAGGGTGTTTGGGATCTCTCTGCCAGGAACAAAGACCAAATATATTTCCTGTTATAAATTGCAATATCACATAGCCAAAACACCACTGTACATAAATTCCTCCTTCATCTCCCACATGCTTTCCCCCACTCTTTCTTCCATACTTTTGCACACACAACAACCTCTTTCTGGAATACGCTTTCTTCCCTTCTAATCCTTGAGACTCTGTCTCCACCCCTGAGAAGCCTGTCTTCATCCCTATCCTCAGTGGGTCAGGTGGATAGATTTTCATGCCTTTGGTGAGGCGATAGATCTGGCCTCGGCCTTGGCCTCAGTGAAAGATCATTAAACTAGGATTTTCTGTGGCATTCTGGGCTCAGCTAGTGATGCCTGAGAGGCTTGCCGAGTTAGGCCTGTCACGCAGTTCTTATAATTAAAAGGTCAGATTTTGCTGCTCTTGCACCTTGAGCAAACCGCCCACCCTTAGGGCTTCAGAGGCTTCTATCCTCGTTGGCATCAGAACTCTATTATTATTATTTTCCTCCTTCTTGTTCATCACCACTGCCTCCCCCACCTGAGTGGGCTTTAGTGTTGTGCTATTTCTTCCTCACGATAACACACCCTGTGAGGCAGACAGGGCTGTTGTTTTCACCCGGTGAGGAGACTGCAGTTTCACCTGGCTCTGAGGACACGAGGCAGCCCTGACTCCCTGAGGCTCTGCTTAAACCCTGGGACCTGCTCATGAAAGTTCCTGTGGAACCAGAAGCCTCCTCTTGCCCCCAGGAAAGCTATGGGGTAATGGCAGTAATAGAGATGCTATCAGCTGCTGAGTGGCCAGTGTGGGGGACACTGCTCCCACATCTGCTGACTTCAGGCCTAACGTTCAGCATTTCTGCTTCTTGCTGTCAGATTGTGCCCACTGATTACAGGGCATTTCAGACTTTGGGGGGAAATAAAGGCTTTGCAGAGCTAACCAGCAGGCCTGGTGCTCCCGTCTCATTAGGCCTCAGATGCTGACCTCTTCCACTTGTCCTCCTGTCTCAGTGCACTTGCCATTGTTTTCCCCTGGAGACTCAGTCACACTGGCCTTCACTTGGCTTTCTCGACTAAACCATGTTCCGTCCAGGCTGCTCTTTCTGCCTGTGAGGTTCTTCCTTCATTTTTTGCCCAGTTACCTGCAACTCCCTCTTCGGGACTCAGACCCATCCTCACACCTCATTGGCAGGCTTGCCTGTCCCTGGCAGAGCCGCACGTTCACCTGCACACACTTTCCTGGACGCCCATGCTTTTCCTCCGCATTACTGAGCAGGAGACAACAGGATGGTCCGAAACGCCATCCACAAAGGAGGGTAATGCCATTTATTTGTAACCCTTAGAAGGCCATAGATGTTAGCCATGACTAAGCTGGTCCTGAATGAAAGCACATAGGCCACCCAGCCAAAAAGCATTTAAAAACACATCAAGGCCTTTATCCGCACCTTTCAAACATGATGGAGCTGTGTAGTCGCCCACGAGCTCTCCTAGAATGCCCCCTTTTCCGTCTTCGTCCTTCACAGTCTGTAGCTGCTTTTCCTTTCTTCTCAACAACTGCCCTAAAAAGCTCTGCTTTGTGGTCTTTTTACCCTCTTCTTTTCTTCCTCATTCTCCATTAAAAAAACAAAACAAAACCAAACCAGCTCAAGAACTGGTTTGGGCAGGCAGGACTCTCGCTGGAAGGCAGGGGAGGGGCAGGGGGAGTCTGAGTAGACTAAGCCAGGATTGTCTTTGGTGGTTAGGGGATGGAAACATCACCTTGTCACTGCTGTTCAGTTACCTAATGCTACGTAACACACTCCTCAAAACTTAGTGGCATAAAAGAACCATTTTATTATGCTCGTGATTCAGTAGGTGGGAAGTTTGGACAGGGCCCAGGAGAGATGGTTTGTCTTTGTTTCCCACTGTGTGTGGCCTTAGCTGGGTTGGCTCGAATGGATGGAGATGGCAGGGACAGCTTGAGTGGGGTAATACATCTGGAGTTTTGGTCCTCCTCCATGTAGTATCTGCTGGGCCTGGAATGTCCAGGATGGCTCCTTCGCTTACATGGGCAACGTCTGGGCTGGTATGGTTGAAACGGCTGGGGTCTGGCCAGCATTGTTCTCTCTCCATGTGGCCTCTCCATGTGGAAGTCCCAACTTCTCACGGCATGGCTGCAAGGTTCAAAGAGTAGGAATCCCAAGAAATCTGGGTGAAAGTTGTAAAGCTTTTTATGACTTGGCCTTAGAAGTCCCAGGCTGTCACTCCTGCCACATGACACTAAGTCCAGCTCGTATCAAAGAAGAGGGGAATTAGACTTCACCTCTTGGTATACCACGCAGCATGGATCTACAGGGAGGGACAGAGTTAATGACAGCCACCTTGGAGGCTACCCCACCCCAGCTGCCATAATTCATGTACCTTTCATGGAATTGACTCAAAGTCCAGGATCTCATCAAAATCAGGCTCAGGTGGATGAGATTCCTTGATTGCAACTCTTATTTGTCTGAATAACTGTGACATCTGAATAAGTGTGAATTAAAGAGACAAGCTATTTGTCCCTTCCCTGCCTGTGCTAAGGATCCCCGAGACCATCACCAGATTTGATGATTCACTAGGAGGACTCACATGACTCAGCATATAGTGGTATCATGCCTAAGGTTTATTATAACAAAAGGATACAGAGAAAAATCAGTGAAAGAAAAAGGCAGTGGGGGCAATATCCAGAGAAGTCCAGGTGAAGTTTTCAGAGCCCTCTTCCAGTGTAATAACAAAGACATGCTTAATTTTCCCCCAAAATGAGTTGTGAAATCACACGTGGAATGCTGTCAACCAGAGAAATGCATCAGAGACTTGGGGTTTCTTTTGAAGGAGAGCCACATACACAGTCTTTGCCTGACATGTACCCAAAGTGCAGACTCCCAGAAGGAAGACAGGTGTTCAACATAAACCATATTATTTGTACAAACAGTTTGGGCATAGAGAGCTACTCTGGTCAGTTAATGGTGGAAACTTTCCTGAAATCTAGGTTCTCAGTTGCCAGCCAAAGGCCAATCTTACAGGCAGAACTTTCTAAGGATAAACAGTCAAGCCTGCTGTGTCAATTCTTTTGCACACTGGCCAACATGTTCTGGCAATACAGGGACAGAATGACAACAATACAGACACCCATTTAAAGAAGTGACGGAAGAGGGATAAGAGACACATAGCTGTCACTGGTCCACAGCAATTCTGAAATCTACCCAGGTACATGCTTCTAGTTCCTTGACTGCGCCCCGTCCTGCTCCATGGCAGTGTTTGTAGGCTCCTCCCTCTGGGATTTTGGCTCTTCCCTTAGTCATTCTTCCTTTTCTAGAAGAGACAACTTGTGTTTTCAATGAGTTGCTTTTCCAGTCTCTTTCTTTTTCACATAAAGTTGGATGTCCCAAGGCCTCTTTTCATTTTGAATTATCTCCATTCTTTTTAGCCCAAGTTGGCTGTGCTTACACTGATACAATTCTTTTAAAACCATTGTGGGTTTTCTGTTCATTGTATTTAGGTTTAGTCTATTAGATACAAACCAAATCCTAAACTATCCTAAGACAATCAACTCTCTTCCTTGGGCTGAGACTCGAGATACTCTGAGGTAATGCTCTTAAAAGTCACAGAGCCTTTTGTCTATTGGGTGTGTCTATGAAGCATACCCTTCAATCTTACACCTGTCTCTTGAGCTGAAAAAAAATCTTGAAGTAATTTTTACCCAGATAACCCAATTAATATTTTAATTGGAGTGTGCTGAATTAAATCTTTTCTATTAGTCCACATCAAGCTTTGAGAATCTCAAACTGGGAGAGACTGGGGATTAGAACTAGTTTTATTTTTGAACCTAGCAATTCTTTTTTTTGTAATCCTCAACCAAGGACGTGTTTATTAATTTTAGAGAGCGGGGTAGGGAGGGGGGAGAGAGAGAGGAGGAGAGAAATATTGATTTGAGAGATAAACATCAAGGGGTTGTCTCTTGCACATAACCAATGGAGCCTGAAGCTGCAACTCAAGCATGTACCCAGACTGGGAATCGAACCTGCTACCTTTCCGTTCATGGGATGATGCTCCTCCAAGCAAGTGAGCCACACAGGCCAGGGCAGATCTAACAATTCTTGGCTCCGTTATAGTCCCTCTAAATTCTGCTTGAAATTGAACAATTTCTTTCGTTTTTCTTTTTAAAAGATTTTACTTATTCATTTTTAGAGAGAGGGGAAAGGAGGGAGAAAGAGAGGGGGTGAAACATTGATGTGAGGGTTGCCTCTCACACACCACCAACTAGGCACCTGGCTTGCAACCCTGTTGTGACCTGACAGGGAATCGAACCAGCAACCTTTTGGTCCGCAGACGCATGCTCAAGCCACTGAGCCACACCAGCCAGGGAGAACAATTTTTTCTTTAATACAACTCTCTCCTTGTACTTTGTCTTAGACAAATAGAAGCCAATGGCAATTTCAACATTCTGATTGGAAATCTCCTTAGCCACATCTACAAGATCATTAAGTGTCCTTTCTATTTTTCATTAGATGCCCTTTTCAACTTGGATATTGCCTCAGGCACCACTGCTGCCAAGCTTCCTGCTGCTATATAACACAGGCTACCTTTTATCCAACTGTATTAATTTGTTAGCAGTGCCATAATACGGTGCCCCAAACTGGGAGGCTTAAACAACAGAACAGGGTGGTTTAAACAGCAGAAAGCTATTGTCTCACAGTTCTGGAGGCTAGAAGTCCAAGAGCAAGGTGTCAGTAGTGTTGGTTCCCTCTGAGAGCTGTGAGGAAGAATTTGTTTCAGCCCTCTCTCCTAGCTTCCGGTGGCTTGCTGGCAGTCGCAGGATTCCTTGGCTTAACAACCCATCACCCTTTATGTTCACATGTCTTTCACCCTACGTGCATGTTTTATGCCTGATCTTCCCCATTTATCAGGAATCCAGTCATGCTAAATTAGGACCCATTCTAATGACTTTATTTTAACCGGATTACCTCTATGAAGACTATCTCCAAATAAGATCACATTCTGAGGTACCGGGGTTAGGACTTAAACATATGAATTTTGGGGGGAACGTAATTCAACTCATAACACTAACCCTAAATAACAATTCCCTCACTGTCCTTCAAGGCTTCACTTGAGCCCATTCTTGATCCTGCCCACTCCCTCTCCAAAGCCAACAGAGCACACGTGTTTCTGTCAGCCATATCTAACTTCACCAATATCAATATGAGTTAGGGGCTGATCGGGGAAGCAGCACCTGAGTGGTATACAGGATTTATTATAGGAATTATATACATTGCAACTGCAGGAGAAGCGAAGGAAGAAAAGGTCTGAAAGGAGATGGATGTAGGATGAGAGAAAAGTGACTAACCAGGGACCACCAAGAATGGTGGTGAAGACGTCTCTGGAAGTCTGTGTTATCTCTGCATCCAGGAGTGAGCCTGAAGTTGATAGGTCATCATGTCTAGCAACTAGGAAGAAAAGTTGGATTGAATTGGGGGAGAGTGAGGACAAACTAGAATCCACAAGGACAAATCAGAACTCATGAGGTCAAATGGAACCCAGAGCTGTCACATCGCGATGCCAGTTGTCTGCAGAAGCTGATGTCCTTTCCCCATACATGCATTGTCCTGCACTTGGAGAAGATGAAGTAAGAGATGCGATGGGAGCTGGAGGCACTGGGGTCTGGTTGCTGCTCTGTACCAACAATGCACGCCTGCAGATTGCAACAAGTTTACAGTCTGCAGCTCACCCCTGGTGTTCTACATCAACCAGCAGAGCACAAGCGTGGCTTCACTTGTTCCCTCCAAATTTTACACACATTTCTTTTGCGGCCATTCCTATCCTGGAACCAGAATGGGAAGGGAAATTTGGGAAGTTAAATTCCAGCTTAGCTAAATTGACACCGTACAAAACTGCCACATCAGCCAAACCTCAACAATTGCCAGATACCATGATGCTGTGTCTCACATACATAAGTTTTTCACCTAAGCCTTATAGTAGTTTCGTAAGATAAATATTTGCTCACAGACAAGCAAATGGGGGAGTCTGGATTCCACCCTACGTTTATGTGGTAGCCACCTTCCAAGATGGTCCCAGTAATTTTGCCGACTGGTATTCAGGCACTTTTGTACTTCCCCCTCCCACATTAACTAGGTCTGACCTGAGCACTCTGTAGAATATTGTAGGAATGATGGTGAGTGACTTTCAAGGCTGGATCATAAAAGACATTGCAGCTTCTGCCTTTCTCTTTCCAGGATCACTTGCTAGGGGAGGGAGGGGAAGCCAGCTGACATACCGTAGGGATACTTGGGTAGCCTGTGGGCAGACCCACCAGGATGAACTGAGGACTTCTGTGAACAAACACGTGCCGGTGAATTATCTTGGAAGTGGGTTCTCCAGGACCAGCCTAGGCTTCATGTGACTACAGCCCCATATTCTGACTGCAGTCTCCCAAAAGGCCTCAAGCTAGAACTATGCAGCTAAGTGGCTTTTAAATTTTGGACCCATAGAAAATATGAGATAATGTTTACTATCGCTTAAAGCTGCTAAATCATAGCAATAACCAATATAATCTGTTAAGTTTCAAAGCACAGCTTTTTCTATAACATCATTCTGCTTTAAAATCAGTTTGGATTATGAGAATGGGCATTGGATTATCCAATGGGAATTGTGGAAAAAGTAAGAATTTGGAAGTTCAGAATGTCCTGGTTAAGTGATTTAAAAAAAAGCTTTGAAATATCTGTTTGGGCTTCCTGATACTGAGAGAGAAGGACTGTCATCTAGTGGTTATGCTGGACCTTGAGATTTAGGAAGATTTCTTTTTTTTTTCTTTTCTTTTTGTCACTACCCAGACAAAGCCAAGCTGACATGAAGAAAATTCGAGGTTAAATCACGTGCTTCTGCTCACTAGCACACTTGGGCTGGAGTTGGGGAAGGAAGATGGTAGAAACTTGCCCTGCATTCTGGCAGGGCAGTGAGGAAGCCACAGTCCTCTTGCTTCTCTGCCCCTTCCCCTTAAGCAGGCCATCCTCTCCCTGGCCCTGCCAGGTTCCCTGTGGCCCCAGGCTCACGGAAGCAGCCCCTTCCTTTTCTGCCCTTTCCGAATCCCTTTCCCTCATGATGGATGATGTTTTCCTTTTTTATAAAGTTAATGTGTGTGCACTTAGGAACATAAAAGAGGAAAAAAACCCAAACTTATCTGAGAACTACCTCCTTTTGCAAACTCTTGGTGTTTCTTCTTCTCTCCAGATTGTTCAGATTTGGTCTTGGACAGAGACGTGAGGCATTGTGCATGGCACCTAATCAGGCGGGGAATCATCCAGCAATAGTTACTATGCTGGGATGCAAGCACTAGCAGAAGAACCTTTCCAGAACATCTGGTGCGACCATGTTCATTTAATATGTGGAAAATTTGAAGCCCGAAGAGCTCAAGTTACTATTAACAGATATTAGTTGAACAGTAGCAAGGAGAACCCTCTTCTGGATTTGGGTAAATTCTTTTAAAAGGTCCACCCACTCTGATTGGTAGATGGGTGGGGTGACGTGCTGGGGGCGGTCCAGATTTTTGTGCAAGCACAGAAACACCAGGAACAGCAGCGCAGCCCCGATCCAGCACTTCCTAAGTTGTCAACTGACCCTTAGCAGCGGAGGGTTGGAAAGAAAAGTTTGCCTGACTCTCTGACCTCTAAACCCACCTGAAACCTCGTGTCTGTGCACACAGTAGGCATCGAGAAACGTTTGCGAAATGAATGAATCAACTTCCCTCAGAAACCCTTCCTTGCCTCCCATCCCCCTCCACATCCTCTCCCTCGAGGGACTGCGCTAGGTTTTGAGCTCCCGCCCGGGGACTATTCGGGGTCTCGTCTAGTCTCCTCAGGCAGTGACCTGGTTCCCGGGTCAGCTCCAGGGCACCCCTTTGCACTGCGAGGAGCCGGCTGGAACCCGACAGGGTGCTCACCTCGACTCTCATATTTCTCCTTGGGATAGAAGCCCTTGTTTCGGGGCACGCGAGCACCGACATGGCCCCAGCTGGCCTGGGGAACACTTGGGGGCCGTGGGGTGGCGTTTTACCACCCTAGCGGGACCAGGGGCCCACCGACTCAAGTCTTACTCCCTCCGCAGCCCGCGGGTCTGAGCCGGCGCGCGGGGGGCGGGGCACGATGGGCGGGGCCTGCCGAGGTCAGGTGACTGCGCCTCTGGCGGCGGAGGACCAGGGTGCCAGACTCCGCGGAGGGTGGCGGGGCAGGCAGGTCGGTGCGGGCTACACGGCCGCGGCCATGGGGGTCTTGAAAGACGAGCTGCTCAAGGCTATTTGGCATGCCTTCACCGCACTGGACCTGGACCACAGCGGCAAGGTCTCCAAGTCCCAGCTCAAGGTGGGTACTCTGCCCCGGCCCCCTACCTGCGGCTCCCGGGAGCGCGCCCACTGCTGGGTGGGAGCGCGACCCGGGGGAGGGCAACTACTGTGAGGGGCGGGCGGGAATGCAGCCCGGAGGCCTGCTCCGGGCGGAACGGGCAGAGACCCGGGTTTGGCATTTTTTTGTTTCCCTCTTGCCCTCGGGCCGGTGCCGTGCCTTAGTCCCTTCAGGGTTCCCCTGGAGCCAGGGAAGGCGGGGGTGGGGTCTTGGAGCCTCTAGCTCAGCTCTCTGTTGATGCCGGGGGGGTGGGGGGGGGCGGCAAAGTTTCAGATTCGGGGAGGGCAGTGGGACGTTCCCTTAGTGAACCTATTGAGAGTTTACTCCGCAGTCTGGGAGCGGAAGGGACTTGTCCAAGGGTCACTTCTATAGCGGGACTCCCCTCAAACCGGCCAGATGCACCTAAGGCAAATGGGCAGTTTAGAGACGGGAGAAGTGCCCCAGAAACCTGCCCCTTCGGCCTCCTCCTTTGGGGGGTTTTGGCGGGAGAGGACGCTTTGTGACTTGTGAGGAGGAACTCCCCACCTAGCGTCCTCAGGTCTGGAACTGCTGGAGGGTGTGCCGTGGCCCACAGGGACCTTAGTTCCGGGCAAGGAGCACTGATCTTTCTGGCACCCTGCAGAAGCAGCTGCTTCTGCAGAGTCTGGACTGTGGTTGCCAAAGATCCCACCATTAAGTGAGAGTAGAAGGTATAGATACAGGGATGCTTGTAAATTGAGTGACCCCAAGCAGGAGAAGTGGCACTTAGCCAGAAGAAATTGGCAGCTTCTTGAATGTATAAAATATGGAAACAGACAAGAAGAACCATTCATTCACAGGCACTTCCAAATATACACATTTTGGATCTGAACGGTCTTGTATTCTTAGCCTCCTCTAGGAATTAATTTCTGAAGATTGGGTTTGGTTTGTATATTTTTTGCAGTAATCAGGAGGTTCTTATGAATAATGGCTTTTATGCCAGTAAGATTTAGCACTCCTCTTGTGTTTCTTTTGCACTCTTTTTCTCTTTTATAAAATCATACTCTGGAAGGGTCCACGGAAGTCACCCACTTAATCTTTATTTTATTTATTTTTTAAGTTAACATACAGTAAAATGGACTTTTTTTGGTGTATAGCTCTATGAGTTTTAACGTATACATATAGATTTGTATAACAACTACAAAAGTCAGGTTTCTGTTTTCCCAAAAATCTCCCAAATGCCACCCTTAACCCTCAACTGTGAGCAATGATCTGTTCTTAATTGCTGTAGTTTTGTCTTTTTCCGCAGGGTCATATAAATAGAGTCGTACAGTATGTAACCTTTTGACACTGGCTTCTTTTACTCAGCATAATGCCTTACAAATTCATCTATGTTGTGTGTATCAATACTTCTCTTATTGCTAAGTAATAATATTCCATTGTATGGATGTACCACTGTTAATCTAGTCTCTCTTGAAAAACATTTGTGTTATTTCCAGTTTCTGGTGATCACGAATAGAGTTGCACTCTTTTTTTTTTTAATTTAAAAAGGTTTTATTTGTTTTTAGACAGAGGGGAAGGGAGGGAGAAAGAAAGGGAGAGCAACATTAATGTGTGGTTGCCTCAAGTGCGCCCCCTACTGAGGACCTGGTCTACAACCCAGGCATGTGCCCTGACTGGGAATTGAACCAGTGACCTTTTGGTTCACAGGCTGGCACTCAGTCCACTGAGCCACATCAACCAGGGGCTAGATTTGCATTTAGCTTTTTACTGTTAATTTACCTATACCACTGTTACCAGATGGGGACCAGGCCCAGAGTGAGTCTGTCTTGGGCTGTCCAGTAGTGTTTGGGTTCTTGACTTCTTGATTTCACATGAGTCCAGGTGATTTGAAAGGATGTTTCTTAAAGCTGGGGACAGTGAAATGAAGGAAGAACTTAGGATAGAAGAAGCAACAGAAGAGAGCCTAGATGGGGATGCATTTAGCTCACTGTAAAGTCAGAGAAAGAGGGGGACTTGGAGATAGGATCGGGGTAAGCCCAGGATGAGCTGCCACTGCCTATTACTGTCCTGGTTGCAAGTCTCGTGGGGACCCTGAGAGTTTAGGAGGATGAGAACAGATACAAGGTGTAGGTGTGCTCTAGCGAGGGTGTACTGTGGGTCCTTTTTCTTGAGGCTTTTGTCCTAGGGGAGGTCTTGGGGGAGGGTCTTAACAGAATATTCATTAGTTTTCCAGGTGTGCCCTTCAATTTGTTGATTCATCCAAATATGTGTATAGAGGGGTCAAGGTTATTTTCTAGTTAGTTTTCTTTTCTTTTTAAAAAATTATTTATTTTTAGGGAGAAAGGAAAAGAGGGAGGAAGAAAGGGAGAGGAACATCAATGTGTGGCTGTTTCTTACACGCCCCCGACTGGGGACCTGTCCCACAACCCAGGCATGTGCCCTGACTGACAGTCGAACCAGTGACCCTTTGGTTTGAAGGCTGGCACTCATTCCACTGAGTGATATAGCCAGGTCTGGTTAGTTTTATTTTCAAAGAATGTCATCTAAGAGAGACCTGGACCAAGGCCTGTCTGGACTAGGACTGAGGCTGATCTGCCCTAGGATGATCTGGAATTTGTAAACCATTTGCTCCTAAGTGTCCTTAGGAAAGATAAAACCTTGTGATTCATCAGCTGGCTATAAATTACTCAAATTGTTTGGCCTTGTTGAATTCTCTTGTCTCAGTTTCCCTACTTCTACTTGTCAAGGAATTTCCCTAGCTTATAACTATCCTGTCATACCACTACATTTTAAGTGGATTTCTTATAGATAATATATAGTTGGATCTTGTTCTTAAAATCTGTTTGGACAATCTCTGTCTTTTATTGGTGTGTTCAGACCATTTACATTTAATATAATTATTGATACGGTTTTAGGGCTACTAATTTTTTCTTGGTTCTGCTCGTTTTATCTTTTTTGTTCTCTTTCCTTCCTTCTTTTAGAGTATTTGAATATATTTTGGTATTCTATTTTATTTTTATTGATTGATTTCAGAAAGAGAGAGAAAGGAAGAGAGGGTGGGGGGTGGGGAAGAGAGAGAGGAACTTTGATCAAGTTGCTTCTCCCATATAGCTGTTTCCCAGGCACATGCCCTGACAATGCCCTAATGGAGAATCCAATGAATTGAACTGGTGACCTTTTGCTTTGCAGGACAATGACTAACCAACTGAGCCACACTGGCCAGGACTGTTGTTACACTTATTTATGCCTTCACTGGTTGATTCTTGTATGTGCCCTGACCCAGGACCGAACCTGTGATCTTGGAGTATCAGGACTGTGTTCAAACTGATTGAGCTACCTGGCCAGAGCTTAGTGTTCCATTTTAACGCTGAGTTTTAAACTATATCTATTTGTATAGTTTTTAAAATGATTGCTCTAGGGATTATAATATATAGTATATATATATATATATATATATATATATATATAACCTAACTTTTTACAGTTTATTTAGAATTGGTATTTTACCACTTTACAGGGAAGGTAGAAGAAACCCTTTTACCTCCCTGTTTTATTTTGTAGTTGCCATATTGATTAATTTTCTTACATTGAAAACCCCATCAAACGATGTTAAAAATTTTCAACCATCAGTTTTTATTTGATCTTTCAAGAGAAGAGTCGTATTGTTTTCTCCTAGATGCTCCCAGATTACTTTTTAATTTTGTAAATAAGATAGATGAAGCTTCTGAGGTGTTTGGTGACTTGCCCAAAGTCACAGTTATTAAGTATAGCTAAATCCAGAACCAAGATTTTCTGACTTTTGAGCCAGTGTTTCTTCGTTTTTTTCTCTTCTAATTGATTGCATAAATGAGATGATTTCTATTACCTTTGTTATACTCCATTCAAAATTGTCCCCATGGCTGCTGGTAAAAGAAGTGTTCAGATGATTCTTGACTGCAGGCTGGCAGGAAGTATTCCATCCCAGCTCACAGCCGATAAGGCAGCTGTGCGGTTCTTTTCCGTCTCCTCCTGTCTACTTAACCGAGAGACTCTTAGATTGACTCAGCTCTGTTCATCTTACAATGTGTCTGGAATTGAAAATACTAAAAAAACTGAAAAACAAAAAAAAAACACTTCTATTTAGGTCTTTATCTTTTGTTTTTCCTCTGAAGTTTGATGTTCATCCATCTACTGGCTAGGTACAGTGTTTTGGCCTTAATTTGTTTATTCGTTTATTCATACAACCACCTTTTGTGTGTTTATTCTGTGTAAGATACCATGATAATTTCATAAAAAGATTAGCATTTGTAAGCTCTTAAGAGTTAATATCTGGGAGGAAATATCTCATACAGAACCTCCCTCCCTTGTCTGTGGTTTTGCCTTGCGTGGTTTCGATTTAGCGTGGTTTCGGTTGCCAGTGGTCAGGCATTGTCTGAAGATAGTAAATGAAAAATTCCAGAACTAAACAATTCATAAGTTTTAAGTTGCCTGCCGTTTTGAGTAGTGTGTTGAAATCTGATGCTGTTATTCCTCTCCCACCCCTCACCATCCAGCCCATCCCCGCCCTGGACATGAATTTTCTGTTTGTCCATCATATCCATGCTATACCCACTGTTCACCTGTGAACAGCCATCTTTGTTATCAAATCAGTGGTTGAGAGAGAGAAACCACATTCGTGTAACTTTTATTACAGTATTGTTAAAGTTGTTCTACTTTATCATTAGCCATTGTTAATTTTTTACTGTGTCTAATGTATA